CTCCGATTGGCTTTACCTTCATAGAAGCAGGTTAGGATAATGAAGATACCTGCTTGCACCACGAGGCTTATTCAGCCGATCACAATTGTTATTTTCTTGTTGCCATTCAAAAATATAATCATCCACACACCTAAAATCGCCCTTATAACTCCAATCATCGAATCGTTCAGCTAATATGAAAACAGATTCGGGATCAACATCCGAAAACACGTCTAACAGTATAGCTCTCAATTGGTGCGTCTAATTCGACCTGGGATCCCTCCGTGGATACTGAGGAGCATAGTTATGATGTAAGCCTCAGGAAGGGATGGGCAGTGGTGATGAAGAGATAACGTTCAATGATTTCTTCTTCTCGTTATTCTCCATCTCTTGAACTGCCAAAGTAGGAGCTTGAAAAGATTGCTGTCCTGGTGTCATATTGTATGTAAAATCAAATATAATGGAATCACAGAAATAGATCGAAAACTGATCGAAATTTTTTCAGAGCTTCGCAAATTCAAATATCTAGCGATTTCAATAATTCGAATTTTATCCGGTACATGGATCCGAAAGTTCATTTTTCTTATAGACTTGCACCGCCTCGTCATGAATCCCATACATTTGTATCGTACATCTTGGATGATCCAGAGTTTGGTCGAATGGCATACACCGTATCAATCTTGCTCATGTTCTCATTCGTTATTTTACTGCTAATGCTCAGATCCATAAAAAGATCTTCCTCTACACTTCAGGTAAGGTCCTAGGATTGATGCCATCATGTCTGAAATTTCATTACAAAATATTTCTGGAGTACCCTAACTAGATAGCCTCAGGGACAATGATTTCAGTAGGGTTTCTTCATATCACGAATCACAGCAGTCTCATAAAAACAGATGAACGCAATATTGTCGGATCTACACATACATAGATATAAATCGAAGGTAAAGGGATCTATCATTATCCTCCCTCACCTCTAAGGATCACATGATAAAGCCCTGAATAACCTGTGAAGGGTTATCGACCTCTTGCCCGCCTTACGGTCTGTCCATTCGTTAGAAACCACCTTCAAATACTATCCAGTATGGAATGTAGTATGAGATTCAATTTGAGATACTGATCGTCACAAAATCTACGGAAGAAAATAAAATTTTGTGATACCGTCCAAGTATGGACCTATAAATAATTCCAAAGATATCCTTATTCCAAAGAATTAAAGTCTATCGGGCACTGGCTCACTGCAATCGTAGCCTCAACACAAGATTTTGCCGTCAACTTTTGTAAAACCACTGCCACCTTCCAAAACACTCGCCCTCGAAATATAAATTGTCTCAAATTCGGCAAATTCAATTTCACCAATAGAAATAAAGGGCTTTACATTCGCTGCATAAAGTCGGAGTTGCAGTTTGCAGTCTGGCTGATCATGAGGGAGAAGGGGGAAGAGATGGGTTTTGGATGGTGGAAGCATCCGTGAGAGGAGGATGGTCAACCTTAGAACCTTATCGTTCATCCTAATAATTAATTAATTTACACCACATATCATCGAGCAGTTTTCACAGAAAACTTCCATTAGGCAATTATCATTATGCAATATTTCGGTAAAATTTCTAATTGGACTGAAGCTCACTTTCTTTCTGTAGTGAACAGATCATATATTCCTCCAGAGATGGACCTCACAGATGAAACGGTGGGAGGGATTAGAATTGCAAACGTCCCACTAACAGACCACCAATTTCCGATTGTCATAGTACTAACCAATAAGTGCCTAAACACAAGAATATTTTCAGATGGAAACACTATTGGAAGCTATGCGATTTCGAGAAGAGCTTGACATCCAGGAAAGGCAAAGGCGGCGATTGCTGAAAGCGAAAACAAAGGTAAGAAACATCACATTACTTTTTTGCAGTCGCGATATTCCTTTTCCTTCTTTCACTTTTCTTCCCATTTTTTTCGTTCGGCACTCGTATATGAATACTAATTTTTTTGAAGTTAGTTAGAAAGAAAGAAGTCTGAATATTTAAGATTTTAATTTATCAGTAGGTAGATTTTTCTCTGAGAAAAGTAGTTACGGATAATTTTGAATAAAAGAAACTGCAGTTGGCGGTGAGGGACGGAGTAGTCGACGTTTCCATTTCCCAAAACGACACTCGCTTGAATTGTGCCTAAGTTGCGGTGTTCGAACCTTGCCAGTCATAGAAGGACATAGCAGATGTTGATCACGAACACTAGAAGGCAGTTCAAAAAACCAGTACATTACAAAAAATGGTTGTATACTCGGGTGGAAGACGTTGGAGCAGGATTTAACTCCTTGAAGCGTTGATACTTCATGCAAACCACGCCCGAATGTTCTACATTAAAATTTGATCGAGAAGATTGCTACCTTACTGTATATCTGTACTGTATGCAACTAGAAATCCCAACGTGGAAAGAGGGTCCTTTATCAAAAACGGCTTTCCGTTGAATGAAACCCAGCTGAGACATTGCGTGGTGACCATATCTCACAAAAGCTTATCCGCATATACTGAGATGGTTTCTCTCTCATCCTTGGAACTGCAACTGGGAATGACGGGGAAAAANAAAAACTTTCTTGGTTTGTACACGTCATGATTACGCTCAGAGGGCATTATTCTGATGCCGAAAAGAAAGATAAGAAGAAAACGTATCGGGAACATAACTGAATCATTGAAAAACTGAAAATGGTACGAAACTTGCAGGTGACGGCGTGGCTGACCAAGACAAATGGAGAATTTCGAGGCTGGAAGAGCAGTCCAGCTCTAATGCAACAAAGACGAACCACGAGGTAAAACAATTTATATCATGCTGCCTAAGGTATTATTTCTCGTACATAATGGTATTTAGAGTTTCTATAAAAATGATATTTTCGAAATCCAAAAGCGGTACAAATGATGTAGGCTGACATGTTGTGTTTCCAACCACAGAGCCCCTTGAGCAGAAAATTAATCCATGCGGTTGTATGTTCGAGAAATAGAACACCTCGTCACTAACACATTCGCAAAGGTCTGCTGTCACCAACGGAGCCCTATCTAAGCAAAGTTTCCCACAAATTCACGAATAAGTCCCTCATCGTACCCTTCATTGAATAGGTGCTCGGAATCGAGCGATTAGGGACATCACCACACTTTACTAAACGATAAGCGGGTAATCAATGGGTAGGCCAGTTGGCATGTTCGTACTCCTAGAACGATGATGTATCTAGTAGCTACCTGTACTATCCTCTAATTCAGAGGCATAATCCACGATAAGAACGGTTTTCCAGATTACTCACTCATTAGGACGGAATTGTGGTCTCTGAGGATAGCATAAGGGACGCTGTCGGTCGTAATAAGAGCCCCAAAACCGGCTAAGCTGACCTACACACCGAAAGGCAGACTAGTTCTCAAGGTGTTGCCGGAACTGTGTGAATGTTGCACCATTCGCATCGGGACGCACACGTTACCCGCAGGCAGCTTACTGTATCCAGCCATACGCCATGGCGCGCACATTGGAACAGCCCATACAAATATCTCTTCCATGCTACTTTTGTTGTCACATACTCTTCCAAGCCCTAATTTTGCCACATTTGTGGAGCTTCATATTTCACTGGATACACCGATTTTCGCGTTTTCTTCCCCATCTTTGCATTATTCTGGACTATCGCTTCCACTAACCCTCTAAAATTTCGTACCCCAGAATTATCGTGAACTAAGCCTTTAAATATGGACGAACCGTGAAATATGTGAATAACATTAACGAGTCCCAACCCTTTGTGTTGCATCAGATTCCCTTAGTCAACAACTGTTTACTTGTAACCAATATAAGTGGAATTCAACACGCTTCATTGAGGGGAGCTTGCTATTTTTGTATTTTTTTTAATCCAGTGTTACTCACCAACGTGTTTGCAGTTCGACGATTTCTGAGATTCCTCGTGTTGTGGTGACCGAGGCTCGAGATGCTAGGGAAGAGCGGTCTCGTACTCCATGTCTTTCATTGATGTACGATTTTACTGAAGAAGAACAACAACGGTCTCTGTCTTCGAGATGTTCTTTCAGTCTTGATTTGGATAATTCTGGCTCCGCCCATTTACCGATACATTCCCTCAGTCTCGATTCATCCTAGCGAGGTTGTTTGTGTACATAGGATGAACTAAAAGTAGCAAAAGGACCAAAACTCGAAAGAGCTGGAAAGAGTAGTTTACTGATGAATCCTTGTGTAAACACCTTTTCTAACGGGTATCCTGGAATAACTGAGAGCACTTTATTGCCATGAAATTGTTATGGTAGAAGAAAAAGTGCTTAGACAACACCAACATGTCAATGAAGGTTTAGTAAGGAGTCGTCGCTGGTTTACTTCAGATGTACAGTAAGTACTACAGAACTGTAAGGCTCCCAACATTTGTTGTAAATTACGCAAATAAATGATGAACCGGATGTCATGTGAATTTNGTGGCAAAGTGTTTCTTTTAATCGAGAGCTGCTCGAAGATACTCAAAATGTGACAGTCCAAAGAAGCAGGGTCAGCGGAGAAGAAAAAGCGTGCTCTAGTCAAGTTTCTATAATTTAGGTTGCGAGGTCTCATGTATGCGTTTATATGTGTTTACGTATGTATGTGTATGTTTACGTATATGTGTACATGTTATGATTTGTGTGTGTGCATATGTTCATGTTAATATGTGTATGTCCATGTATGTATGTTTGAGTATGAGCGTGTGTGTATTTGTGTGTATGTGTATGTGTGTGCGTGTATGTATATATGTGGGTGTGTTAATGTATATCTTTGTGTACATGTCAATATGTGCGTATGCGAGAATACTTGTACGTATTTATGTGCATACGCCTATGTTATGTACATTTACGGGTGTATGAATATATGTGTATATAATGTACGTGTAGATATGTACATATATATGTGTATATGTATGTGTATATGTATATTTGTGTATGCTTCTTTGTAGGGACAGGTGTTTCTGTATGTTTTCCGCGTGTGTGTGCATAATTCGCCTGTTGTCGTCCTGAGCGGTCGGTATTCTCTGCGCATTATATCGATATTGGAACTGGTCTGATATATTTATATTATTATTTATTCTACAACAATTTGGCATTCATATAGCTATTTATCTTATAAGCGCACTTGAATTAGGGACTGTAAAGCTGGTAAGGCTGGTAATAGCGGATAAGTTTGTGCAGTCATTTTCTTTGCCGATTCGTGGTGTCATTAGCAATGTCAAAGAATCGATCACGCGCAGGTCAGAGTGTTGGCAGTAGTGTCAAAAACACTGCCACCAATAGTTCAGTGGGTATCGAACCGTCCGATTCTGATATTGCTTGTATGTCCATGAGTCAAATCGTTCGCGTAATGATGGAGAGAAACGAAGAGCTCAAAGATCCTATCATTGGTAAGTATATTAACGCACTAGTTGCCAAATTGCTGCAAACGATTGCCGATGCTGTGGAGGCGGACAAACGGGGCCGAAGTTCGGTCCTCTTTGGCATTCCAGAGTCCGCACCCGACTTTTCTTCAGGCAGGCAGAAAGAGGTCGAAAATAAGGTATCAGAAGTTTCAGATGTTCTTGGTGTTGAGTGTGAGCCCGTGGAGGTATACCGTATAGGGAGACCTGTTGGTACTCATCCACGTTCAATAAAGTTGGTATTACCTTCTGAAAGTCATTGGGCCAATGCACTCTCTAATAGCTATCGCCTGCGCGATTCCGGGTTATCTAATGTTTGTATACGTGAGAGTTTAACTCCGAAAAAGCGCGAACATGAGTTCCGACTGCGGCAAGAGAGTAGAGAGAGGAATAAACAGTTGAACAGTAGGGTGTGGATAGTGTAATGTGGCGAGCTAAGACGTGCTGACGAACTCCCCAAATCGAAGCGTCGTGGACTAAAACAGATATGGCCGCTGACTCTAGCTCTTAGTTCTTGTTTTTTTTTNTTTTTTTTATGTTTTTGACTTTTGTTTGTGTTCTTTGTGTACTTTTCAAGGTGGATAACTTTTTTAAGCAGAGACATGCTGATAAAATACTCATACCAGACTGCATAACTTTTGGAAGCTGCTCATGTTTTTGAATACACCTCAGGGGTGGGTCGTGATTCCCACTTGACTTTTGTTCGGGCAAAAACTACGCATTGCCTGGTCCATTCTCGTAACACTTACCTGGCTTGGCTTTTCCACGTGGGTGGTCGGTATACACGTGCCTCGACATTTCATCAAGCTCCTATGACCCCATATGTGGCAACTGGGCGTCGCAGCCGACTGACGTGGCTCTGTGTTGCGGTTCGTTTCTAAGGGAGTGCGTAGCCATTGCTCTGCCCCTTTTCTCCCATAGCCAAGATGATAGTTCAACTTCCGCCTTTTCACTACTGTTCGAGACCATCGCTTGAGAACAAAGCAAATAAATAAATGATAGAATAATTCTAAAGAGTGCTTCCAGCTATGTAGGTAGTCTAGTTGACACTTGTTTGTTTTATTCTAAGAGTGCTACCATGCTTTCCATTTTGCTACGTTGTTCTACATTCATCTGTGTTTGCTTCTGCAACTAGTATGTCTATGTTATCTAACTAGCGAACTTTCTGTTACAAGCACACTTATGAACGCATAAATAAATAAATAAATAAATAAATGAGTGTACGCGTACTTATGCGTATGTATTGTACATACTTATGTGTATATGTATGTATATGCGTGTATTTGCGTGTATGCATGTGTATATGTGTGCATGCATGTGCACGTTTATGTGTATGCGTGCATATGTACGCTCGTATAAGTTTATGTTTGTATTGATGTGCATGTGTGTATGTGCATGCACGTGTACGTTTTTGTGTTCATTTATGTATGTGTATATGTATGCTATATATGTGTACGTGTATATAAATAAATGTATGTATGTACATGTATGTGTGGATGTATGTAATATATACGTACAAGTATGTGTAAGGGTGTATGTATGTGAGCATGCATGTGCAGTCATAAAAAGGGTCTGAGAGCGCCCACTAATGAT